AATGCCAATTAAAATTATTAACCAATATACATAAATCTCCTTTGTCTTATTGCCAAGTAGCTATGTGGATTGTAATATTTTAATTTTTCTAAGTGTTTTCTAAAACCTTTCTCTCTCCTTTTCTCCCCCCCATCTCCTCTCTTAAATCTTAACCATGAATCAGTAAATATGCAAGCACACTGGGTTTTTCTGCTCACTAAAATACCTATATTATCAAAGAAAAAACAGAGGGTATTAATGTGATAGTGCATAGTCTAATACATGGTATTGCTGTGCTAATGGTTATTTCCATTAAAAGTAATGATACAAAAACTCAATTGAACTTGATCTTACAATCATCAATAACCACTTAGATTAACATGTTAAAAGCTTTAATGTACAGAGACATGACAAAATGTAATTTTAAGAGCAGTGACTTCTCATTTTGGTTGTTGAGAGGAAAGGATTAAGTAGTGAGTGAATAACTGTCAACCAAAACCTAGAAATGTCACTGTTACTAATGTGTTATAATGACTTGCTGTATAGAATCCTTACACCAACTCTACAACCCTAGTTCATTTCTTCTGTAGTATTTCTTGCCTTCATCTTTGCAATTTTTTAAACCTAAGTGACGATAAGGGGTTCAGAGTTTCCAGAGACGATCTGTGATATTCTGAGATACTAATCCACATTTCACTTTCTGTTATGTATCAGTTGTTTAGGTTTTTATTATTATTATGTTAAAGAATTTAGCCAGATCTTGCTTTGTTGGCCAGAGGTGCTCCACCATTTAATCAACTAGACATTTATTTTACACAGTATGATTATATTATTTTTGTAAAATATAGATTAAGGGTTTTTGTACTTAAAAGTTACAGTTTCTATGAAATATTCCCACTTTTTAGGAGTACTATGAAAGTTTTATATCTCAAAAATGAATGTTTTATTCCATGAACAAACATTTACTGAACATCTGCTGTGTGCTAACTCTGATGTATTGGGTTGAGGTACAAGCTAAAACACAGCTTGCTCCCAGACAGCAGAGTCCAGGAGGAGAGATGTGCCCAGGCACTGGGATTACAGTGCACATGCAATGATAGCTCAGGCAGGCCTGGAAGCACAGAGGGAGGTGCAGGCCTCTCTGAATGGCTGAAATGGAATTGGAGTAATGACAAACAAAGAAGTTCTAGGATTGTACAGGTAAAGGGGAGGGGCCCTCACACTGCCAGGGAAGTGGAAGGCAGTGTGGCAGTTACCAACATAGAATCTGGAGCCAGACTGCTTGGGTTCTACCTTACGCCATTAGTCAACTTCCCATGCCTTGGTTTACTGATCTATAGAGTTTGCATATCATGAACATCTACTTTAAAGGACATCTATGAGGTTGGTTTAGTTACTTTTATTTTTTGATAAAATGCATACAATGACCTATTCAAATTTTTACTATCAAGTTGAGGCCACGTACAAGGTTCTTGATGATAGAGGTAGAAAAAAAATGTTAGCCTGGAAAGTAGGGATGGGCCAGAGAAAAGCGGCTGAAGGTTCTGAAAGAGCTGGGAATCCATTGCTGGAATTTTTCTTTGTGTAAATGATGACCTATAATTAGAGGTTTTGAGAAAGACCAATCAGCCGGAGACTGGAGAGAAATGTGATGTGAAACAGAGATGGATGAGGAAGCTTTGGAAAGAGCCCAGGGGCATTGCTAGGACCCTGAACGAGGGCAATGTCATGAGAATGGAGAGACGTTGACCTAGGAACAACTTTGGAAATACTTAGTGAGAGTAGGTGGCTCATGAGATGATGGAATAATGGCTGAGGGACTAGGTGGGGAAGTTGCTACATTCTATGATCAAACTAAGCTGAGGAAAAGAATGTTTCTCTTTCTCATTTTTTGGTATTTCTTAGGAACACAGTAAAAGTTACTTCCTCCCCTAATGAAAGACAAGGTGAGGGTGATTTGATTTTGAAAAAGAAATGTCCCAAGACTTGGGAGGCAGAGGCAGGCAGATCTCTGTGAGTTCAAGGCCAGCCTGGTCTACATAGTGAGTTCCAGGACAGCTGGGGCTACAGGGAGACCCTATCTCAAAAAGAGAAAAAAAAAAAGAAAAAGCAAAAGAAAAGAAATGAACAGACAAAAAAACAAAACAAAAAACAAACTGCAAAGGTTAAGAAGTGCTAAATTCAGTTGCAGAGTCTTGCCATTTGGGCTCAGAGGTTCTAATGCTATCTGAGACCTTCAATGAGTTTCAATGACAATATTCAAAATTTGGAAGTATCTTTTGGTAATTTTGCTTTAGTTTTCTTCTTTGAGAATGCAGAGACACCCTGGCTGGCCTTGCTTCTCCTTGGTGCTGTGTAATTCTCTGACATCAGCACAGATATATTCAGCTTCGACATATGATACTGGCTGGCGTAAGAAAGAAGGGGAAGATGGATGGGTGAGCTTACTAGCAGGACATGACAGTTATGCTCAAGACTAAATGGCATCTGTAACAGGTGTTTCTTGGAACCAGAGTTAGAAAGGGCTTCTTCTATTTTTAAATTGGCTAAGAAAATTTTATGCAACTATGTAGAAACTATAAAAATTATACTTATATGTTTTTAAGATATCAGCACATTTTATTTAGTATTAGGTTGCAGCAATTGCTTTTCTTTTTGATTCCTCCTGTCTCTGTGTGTGTGTGTGTGTGTGTGTGTGTGCGCGCGCGCGCGCGTTTGTGTTTATATGTGTGTGTGTGGGGGATGATCTGGTACCACAGTGTGGCCAGAGGACAACCTAAGGGTTGGTCCTTGCCATTCATGTTTTTGAGAAAGGATCTTCTTGTTGCTCACTATTGTATGCCAGACTAGCTGTCCCTCCAGCTTCTGAGGACTGTCTTGTGTCTGCTCCCCATCTCTCCAAAGGGGCATGTTAAGATTACAGCTGTGAGTGTCTGATATTACATGTAGCATCTGTACAGGTTTTGGGTATCAGGACTCAGTTTGCCACACTTGCTTGGCAAGCAGTTTACTCACTGAGTCATAACTCCAGCCTAATTCTATTTTGAAATATAAGGAATCTTAATCCTAGAGCAGAGGTCCTGAGGTAGTAGAATGAATTTGCTAAACTCCTCAGAGTTTATCATTTAGCTTAATGACTTTCTGTCCTATATATGGCAAACTTTTTTGTTAAGAGGACTGAATATTGTCTCTATCCCTGGAAGATGATTACACTTAGCAGGCTGCAGACAATTAACACTAATAGAATTGATCAACAAGACACTTTGTTTTCAACATCACATTCAAAAGCACTATTGCTATTAAACAGCAGCAAGAGACTACTTCCATCAAAGCTTAGTAACCCAGATTTTTGTTCACTTTTTCTTTAAAGCAACTTTTATTTCCACTTGCGGCTGATCCTCTAATAGTGAGCAAGTTAGTTCAGTGAAATATTAGATAAACCTCATGACATCAAAGCTACTTTTATTAGGTTACATCTTGGTCTTCATGATTCCCCAGTCAGTTTCTCTCTCAAACCAATGTTTGGTGGAGACTTCAGTCCAGAAAATACTTCTCTGGATTTGTTCTGATTCTCTGATTTTGAGATTATAAATTGCAAAGTATTTTTTTGTGGAGAGAAAAAAAAAAAAAAACCACTCCAATTAATTGTCCAGTAAAAGACTACTACTCAATCTACTTACATATATGACTACCTATTTTTAAAAAAAGATGTATAATATGAGAAGGTATTGCTAGTCATTGTGTTTATGAATTCATTGTGTAGTTCTAATTCTTTTTCTTCATCATTCACTGACATGGTGAAGAACTAATACTAAGAAGAGACACTATTCCCAATAGCCAATTAATTGTCCAGTAAAAGACTACTACTCAATCTACTTACATATATGACTACCTATTTTTAAAAAAAGATGTATAATATGAGAAGGTATTGCTAGTCATTGTGTTTATGAATTCACTGTGTAGTTCTAATTCTTTTTCTTCATCATTCACTGACATGGTGAAGAACTAATACTAAGAAGAGACACTATTCCCAATAGATATATGCATAAAAATGTTTTTGTGTGCTAATTTTCCTTATCTTCTTTCTCATAATCAACAGTCTATAATATTTAACCTGGGGAAAATATTTTAATTAAGCTGCCTATGTATATTTCAATAAACTCGAATTTTTCTGACATTTCAAACATAACCTTGTATCATTCATGTCTGCCTCCTACTATTTTACATTTATGGCATGTTTCAGCTGCAGAAATTACCATGGCTACTTGTTATGCCAAACAGTAAACTGGAGATGGCATTTAAAAGTACTGTGCTATCATGTCTTTGCATTGAAGATTACATCAACACCTCAATAGTTCTAATACTACGAATTAATTTAGGAGCCTGGAGAAATGTGACTATGAGACAACTGGTCACTGTTGAAGATATTCTTTAGAGCCAAAATGCAGTCAATGGTGCTTTTTTGGTAGCCTATTATGCTATGTTTTCTGAGACCTCATGCTAATGCCAAATAATGTTTTATTACCAATATTGTTGAAAGACTGCAATCTTGCTCTCATCTTTCTGCACTCCCCTTTAGAAATAAATAGGGTGTCAGTTCTTCTTTGGGAAGAAAATAATTCATATTTAATTTTGAAATTATTAACAGAGAACATACAAAGTATGGTTTGCTCAAGGTTCTCTTTTGTCTAAAGTGATATCTGATAGTGATTTGCTCTGATCAGAGCCTACAATTCTCTACTAACCAAGTGAAATTTTATTTTATTTTTTGAGCTCCTTAAAATAATTTTTATTGAAGAAGCAATACAAACGCATTCTCCATGTTAACACATTGGACACAGTAGGTCAGACTGCTGCTTCATCTCAGCCGGTTTTAATAAGGAAGCTTCTAGTTAATAAATACTTTTTTGTAAGTTACCATTTAACCATTCCTCCTTCAAAGAGGGCTTTAGAAATTCTTGGAAACTGCCCAACAGACCCTGAACAAAAACACAGGCTGCAGTACCAAGGTCAGTGCTTACCTGCACTGGTGCCTGCACCGGATGTGAGGTCTCCACCCATCAGACCACCTATGGATTAAAGAGGAAGATCAAAAGGAGAAAGGCTAAAGGCCTACAGAACAGAACATTTACCTTTAGCGCTCAGCATTTGTCCTCTCCTGAGAGCCATAAACTTGTAAAGTAGTACCTAAGTCAGATGCTGACATTTGTTTTATTGTGACATGCTGTGCTTAAATGTTAAAAATATATTCAATCACTGACATTTTGAGGATTTTTTACAGGAAAGATTACATTTGAAAAATCCAGCCTTTGAATAGTCAGTGTATTTTTATTGTTTCCAAGTCTAGTTCTTTCCTAAAGAAATACTCCATAGGAAATTTAAAGAAAAGTTTTTTGTCTACTGTATGCTCTGATACCCACATATCTGATATGTAGTAGTTTTTTCCAAATATGTTTCATACCATTAATTTTATGCAATGTTAATTGTTCATAATTTGGTAATCTTATAAATTGACTTATATTTTCTAGTTGAATTTTACTTAAAGGCATAGTAAACATGTTTTCATTGCCACAGGTTTAGAAACACGCTTATTCATTGCAGATTTAAGAAACTACACTAAAACTTGGGCTGCTGAGATGAATTAACAGGTAAAGGCACTTGCCTCTAAGCTAATGACCTGAGTTTGATCCCTAGACTCACATGGTGTACGGAGAGTACTGACTCATGCAAATTGTCCTCTGACCTCCACACAAGGGCTGTTTCTCTCTAACTAACTAACTAACTAACTAACTAACTAACTAACTAA